AACGTAAACGCGGTCAGGTCAATCCCATTAACATCGCCGGGAATGATCAATTTTAAAGCCGTGAAGCTTGTATTTTGTTAAGAGGGACGCTAGATTAGTTTGGCTCAATTCCAACGTATAAATCCTACAGGTGATGTTGCCTGCCATATTGCATTAAGTACATGCAATCGGAGACTGACTATCATAAAGTTTTTATTCGAATTCAAACAGGTTGTTTCATGTTAGGTTTGTGAAGAATAATTGTTGATTTTGGAGGCGTAAGAAATGAAGCTGGTGTTCCCTTTCCAGAGGCATATAATTTTTATATATTTAGACTAGGTTTTTATGGGTTTCTATAATTCTTAATTTTAACAATACTACTTCACCAGAACAACCCATGTTTTATTAAAGGACATCTACATATTATGTACATTAAGTCCAGAAGGTTCTTCCAGATCGAAAGTTATCGCGATCCAAATTGCGACGATCATGGGACGGGTGAGATATCATTCTACGTTTCTTTGGTTGTTGTTGTTCCCATCGTTCTTCTTCAGCTCCATATTCTTATATCTAGGATGTCGTTTCCGAAATCAACAAACCAGGACTTGAAGCTCGAAGAACACTCAAAATTGGGACCAATAAAGTAAAAACAAGTTTAATAGAGGAGGTTCTGAAAATTTAATACAAGTGGCATTAATAGAAGATTATGTTGCTTTAGCCATCGGTAGAGGAAATCAAATAGCTGATCTTCGTAATCTGGTAACCAGTAAAGTGTTCTAATCGGAGTAATTCAATATATACGTAATGGTATATAGAAGATGTGGTTTAGATTTTATCAAAATCGGTTGAATAGTTACTGAGGTATAACCTAAAACGCGGATTAAATACAAATCCCCACCTGGGCACTCCCTGGGCACCTAGTACCCTCTAAACTAGGCATGTCCGGAAAAACCCATACATATGGGAAGCCCACATATAACTTACGTTCGTGCTACTCGAAAATTCTTAAAACAATTACATTTTGGATTTGGTTTGTGCAGGCTATATTTCCTCGGTACGTTCTACTTGCTTTTTTCGAATGTTTGATGAAAATATGTTGTTAGTGGTGCTCTGTTCGCAGTTTATCTACAGTTCATCTCTTTAGGATTCAAGAGTAAAAGTACCTATACTCGTTTAAATATACCTACGATATAATCATGCAGTTTTGATTATTTTTTCCATGTAATAAATTATTTATAAAGTGAATGCAACTGTGTGGTTTGGAGAAATGCGTATAGAAAGCTGTTCATTATGGAATTGAGAATTTTGTACGTCGACCGCATGAAATGGAAATTCGAAGTGAAAATCATTAAACAGTAATTCGTCATTTTCTGAAAAGCGTATATGAAAATTAATGATACAACTTGGCTAAACGTGCAACCAACCCCTTGTGGAAACGTTCAAATGTGACAAGATGGTCTGTCGGCATATTTAGAAGCACCCTTGTTACAGGGACGTAGATTAATTGCTTCATGCTTAATAAAATTTACCTCCTATTATATATATTGAAAAGACCATAGGATTGCTAGAATTGCTAATGGACCGCAAGGTATAAGGTGAATCAATTTATTGGACCCGTTGGGCGAATTGGGTTGAATTTAAGAGTCACAAATGTTCACACAATTTTTGTAATATGTTTGCACAAGTAATTCTACTAATTAAGCTTTATGGGTTTGTATTGGATTTTAGTTAGTTGCAACAGCAAGCTAGTTAATTTCCGTGCCTATTTTTAGAACTTTAAGGAAGTCCTCGAGTACGTGTGTTTATTTTAACAATTATTTCCCTTTCGGTTTACTTTAATCTTGTTACCTTCCTCTTCCAATACCTATCGACAATCGAATAACACATACCTACCTACATGTGGTTGTTTTTAGTCCAGGATAGAAAGTTCGTATTCAAACACTAGAAAGTTTGCTTGTTAGAGGAATAACACAGAGAGTTACCTTTCCTTAATTGAGAAATGTAATCAATGAACTTGTGTGTTTACTCTTAAAAAAAAAGTTACGGTTGGAATGATCAAAATTGACAAAGTCCGCATTACATTATCTGTGAGAATGGATGTATCTTCTCTCTGTTTGCACTGAAGACTGTAGTCATTTGCTGCGTTTTGAGCCCGTCCTTCTTTAGTTAGGAAATGCCCCACGAGTTGTACAGACAAAGTGAAAAAAAATAACCGAATAATAGTAAATGGTGCAGCAAAAACAACAACTTTTGGGGGTTTCATNGTCGTTGAATTATAGTGGATTTGATGTACTACGCTTCAGCCACTATACCAATTTTCCTTCTGGCAATCTCCTCCCCGAAAAATAAATCCAAATCACTAACTAAAGGCTCGTTAATATTTAACAAGGTCAATTTTTATTAAGAATTTCGACTATGCAACTGTGTTGCCCTAAAACTTGCGATTAGGACTCTCTTTAACATCTGTAACTTTGCGTTACTATTTTATAGTCAACTTTTTATATTTCCACGTCATGCTGTTCACTGCACCACTGAAGTGTTATGAGTGGTCTCTAAAAACTTTTTGTTACTTATTTAGAAGACTGGAAACTTTGGCACTTTGGCAATATTGTAGAACATAGTAGATAGCTCACATCACAATCCCAAAGCACGACACTAAACGGTCGAAGTACATTTCGGTAACAGAGTTATCTTCCTTATTTTGATACATTCATTTGGGGTATATTCCTTGATAAATAACTGTTCAAAATATCAGTAGATAAATATTTTACCTTCCTCTTGTGAGAAGAATTAAATTTTACAGTTTTAGGATTATCTAAATACCACATATGTAATGTAGTTATCTTATCGTAGCTCAAGCTGGGAAAGAGTGGAGGTGCGTGTCCAACCAGTCTTAGGATTGAAGACTGATATGAGAAATATTTTGTGAAATGTCTATTATTGCGAAATTCGCTTGCGTTGGTACTTTCTGTATACTAGTGCTTGAAGAAAAATAGCTTCGTCTTTATTTTTAGGTTAGAATATTTATTTTATGACTATAAAATGCCTCATGAATTACGCAGGACTTAATAAAATTTTCTACAGTAGACGAACCCTCTCAGCTTTACGACTTTTTTAGCAATATTTTATTTCCATGTTTTTATTGATTTTAAGGTCGTTGGTTGTCTATAAAAACCGTGAGGGGTGAAATCTGAGACGGGATCAACTTTTATAAAGAATATATAAGGTCCTTTACCTCGCATTTTTCAAGATAAAGATCTAACAGTAAAAGTAAATATAAAAAATGTCGACACACACTATCGAAGTGTCTGAACGTAACAGTAATACAATTAATACAAGCTGAAGGAAACCAAATAACGTTGAAACTTTATTCAGTGATCAATGCGTGTAGATACATGCTCCATTTAAAAGCATACAAAACAGGTTTAGATCATTTAATGATATCTTGCTTGATTTCAAATATACTCAAAGAAAGATTAAAATAATGGTATATAAATGCTATTATTCGAAATCTATTCGAATCTTGACTGATTTGACACTGATCATACCTACATATGCTAAGATTCTTTGGTGAGATATTGAAGTAGATTATTTTCATTCCATTGTTTCATTGTTCTGTTTGGTTGTTTCTAGGATCTTATGTATGAGTATAGCCAGATCCGTTAGTTAATCCTATGGTAGAACTGACTAGTCCTTTCGCAAAGAAACCGCTGTACATATGATGCCCTTAATATGCATGTAATTTAAAAAGAAATCTTGTTGGGATTCAGAAATATTGTAATATTATTTGCCTAGATATTTGCGGGCGTCATATGTAAATTTATTCAAACCAAGAGAACTCTTTGTTTTGATTTTATAGGATGTACGTATGCATAATCTGCTTCTATCTGACAACTGGGCTTCCTCTAACTTCTTGTTTTACAAAACAAGTAGGTATCAGTTTTCGTTCCCTCGACATCTGTCAAAGTAATTTTAAGTCCCATTTGTTTCCCTTGGTAGGCGACTGGTGTTTAGATGTTTTCATTTTGACTAATTGGTAACATTTAAAGTTAATTTATGGTCGGTAGGTAAAATGTTTTGCGTTTTGTTGTGCGTGTTGCGACACGTGAAAAATGACCGCGCGGTTCTCGGTTGTTTTTAGAGTTAAGGACGAATTTATGTGTCTCCATTTTCAAGCTGTTATTTTAAGGATTAGGGATTCACAAAATCATGAACTGTTTTACCAAATTGTGACTTAGGATATTAATCGAGTTTGAGTTATTTATGTAACAAACGCTTTCATAAAAGTCGTTATCGCAAGCCGAATGTGTAAACTTTCAAAAATACTTACACTTTAGACATCTTTTTAGAAGTGAGTTAGTTTAATATGAAATATTATACTGAAAATTCAATTTCCCTCATTAATTTGAGGTAGCGTGTAGTGGGTAAAAAATTCAGAAATTGAATTTTCAGTATAATATTTCATATTCAAAAATATTGTTATGTATGGGCAACCTACTATACCTTCAGGTAACAAATAAGACCAAAGTATCTAGAACTTACATTCTGTAATCTTTCTAGAATAAGAACAGTCCCTATAAACAGTTGTTGCAGAGTCGGATGAAAACAGTTTTAGTTACGATGTGATAAAAGCCAAAATAAGAAGGAAGATATAATACTGAACGAGTTATTAATTAATAATAATGGCGGTAACTGAAATTTAATAAGTAAAAATAAATTAGATCTCGCGACAACCTATAATAGGAACTGGACTTACTCTAGAAAGATTCCAGAATGTAAGTTCTAGAGAATACACGTAATAATTTATTCACGTTGTACCTATCACATAGATACTACATCGGATTTTTGTCTACATTTAGATTAAGTACAATAATTTACCCTTGTTTGTGTGAACTTTAGGCCATTTATGAGATAATAACTTAGAATTTTGAAGAAGATAACGTTTTATCCGAGAAATTTGAATTTTCACTTAGGTATTAGGTACTTGTTACATATAATTTGATCATAAATCTACTACTTACCACTGTCGTATTTCCTTTTCTGTGACTGTAAAAGAAAGAAAGCCGTTAAAGTATTGTTTGTAAAAAATTCAGATATTGTATAGGTACAATGCTTTTAATTCTTAAGGAATATATCAAAATACTACGTACTAATTAATAATAATAGTTATTGTTTGTTTTACGAGAATGACAATAAATAATACCAAAAATAGATGCAGAAGGAAGAATATACTGTAAAGAAGTAGTAGAAATTTAGATGATTTAATTGGCTCAATTAGAAAAATAATTGGATCATGAAGGTATTCATAGATGTAACAATAAAGAACGTTTAATGAAGTCAGTCAAATAGTAGATCATTTCCAAACTGGGATCTTTTAGTACTATTATCAATTTAATATTAGATCCAACATCTTACATCCCAGCAAGGTTAAGTCGAAGTATATTCTTTAATAAAAAGATTAAGTTTTTAATCGAGGATGACACATTTTCCGTGTCAAAAAGGGTTTCAGATGTTTGAACGTTTTTATTGAAGCAAATTCTACATAATGAAATTTCGTAAGTTCAACCAACTCTGTCCTTTGTATGTCCCTTATTAAACCACGAATTAATTACTGTGGTTTATGAAGTGGAGCTTTGCGTGCAGTTCATAGTGGAAAGCTAAAGTTGAACAACCGATTATCGGCAGATTTTCCGATTACCATATTTATTTCCAAGTGAGCTGAACTACCTCGCCACAATCAGCTCCCACATAAAGGCACTTTAAAAGGATTAGCTCATGAAACTTACCATGTGTAGTAAATGAAAATTAAATGTAAAAAAGAGGAAAAGGGTAAAACTGCAGAACCTCGGATCACAATCATAATCATAGGATTGTCAGTCTTAAGACTGGTTGGATTCACTTCTCCACTGTTTCCTATCTTGACCTAATCTTCACATTTCTGTACTAGAACGTCCCACATCCTTAACTCCTATATCTGCTAGCCTCTCATGCCTAAGAAGGTGTCCTACCAACCTATCTCGCCTATTTCTTATTGGCTTCCATAGCATTTTCCTACTTTTTCTAGTAATCTTCTAACTTTCTCTATCGACGATATCCTCATCATTCATCTGTAACACCGCATTCCAAACGCTTCTAACCTCTTTTTCCTTATGCCCACCGTCCAAACAGAACGGTGCTCCAGGCATACACCTTTAATAATCTCGTTCAAAATTTCAAAATTAACTTTTGGCGAACATAGAAGTGACTTCTTTTTTGTTAAGAGCTACTCGCCTTGCGCTAACTTCTGTTTTATTTTATAGCACCACTTCTTCTATCCTGAATTGTTTGACTTCCTAGATACCAAAAATCAGCCACTTGTTCTAATTTTTCGTCTCCTATCTATATATTATCTGTTTTCCTACTTTTTCTTCCCTAGCATGTCAATATTTTTGTCTTACTTTTATTGATTTTCATACAATACTGTTCTGTCAATACCGCTTCCATTTTATTTAAGGCTTCCATTTTATTTTTTTGTAAATATCTATAACTAACTAATACTAACTGTATCTAAACTAGAAAACCGAGTTAATTCGTCAATTTGCAATTAAAATGTATCATATTTTCGTCTTTTTACTACTTAATAATTTATATGTTTCATATATCCGATAAGTAAGTTTCTTCTGATTTGAACATTGCCCTAGTTCGGTCGTAGGTTCGATAGTTTCCTCAATCTAGTTGGGAAATTAAGGGGTTGTTTCAACTAACGTAAGTTTACTTGTTGATAAAGTTTAACAGTTCCTCGAGGTGCTTCATAGGAAATAATAAGGAGTTATGGTGGTAGTAATAATATACGATATTTTAATGGAGACAGAAGTGAAATATTTGTTTGTATGTTAGTGTGTTCGAAGTTACCCGATTTCGTAATGGTCTATCACATTTACAACCAGCTGCGAAAATTACTGTGATGCTATTGTAATTTCCTGTAAAATACGTAAAATATATGTATAGTGTGATAACAGTAAGAGTGCGCTTGTACGTCTTGTGTCGTTAGCGCAACTATTTATATGGCAGTATTTAGTTCGAAAGCGAGTTAGTAGTGTAACTGTAACGGTTTAGGGACATTACGTTAGCAAGATGGCGGATTCAAGATGGCGCCCGACCTTTCAAGGTCTTTCTTTATAATCTTTAATTTAACTAAGTGCACTGTAAAATTTAGAATGAACAGTTATATGGTATGTTCACTCTAATTTTTGTTCTTTTGTTTTGTTAGTTGTTCCAACAATGCACTTTAAAAGATTTTTATTCGGACTGCCGTAAGCCATTAACTAATGAGGTGTAGGATTATCTTTATTGAACTGCGTTTTGCAGCGTTCGACACTTTAATCGATGCAGTTCAAATCAAAACCTTTTTGAAGGTAAGCGCAAGATGCAGGTCAACCCAAGCTGTACTGCGACAGAAATCGTTAATCACGAACATATTTTTCAGTTATAGTGATTAACAAGTAGTAGGATTCCTCATGTAAATGTTTGTGTTTTAACAAAGATTTTCTTCTCTGTTTCCCATACAGTTTTCACTTCAACTTACACTTTTGTGTCATAGCTATTTATTAAAAAGAGCAGCTCAATCGTTATATACACTGAAAAGTAGGTTTTAGTAAGAATATTGGTCCGAACAGGCATTGAAAACTAGTGTCCTCTAGGGAGTATTTTCAACATATTTCAACCAGTATGATACGACGTTCAATATTGGTGGAATTCGGCTTTCAGTCTGCAGAGCAGATTATATAACCTTCCTATCTAGCAATTGGTGGCAAGTGCTTTGTTCGAGACGCACATTGTGGATTTATATATCTATTGTGTTTGTCTACTGGATCCTGGATGCTTTCCGTGTTATTTATAACCCGAAAGAAACAAACCATTCGAAAATAAATGGGTGAAAGTGCTTACACCAAACTGCAGACTCCAGTTTTATTTTTTCGGTTTACTTTTTGTATAGTATACATACAAATAAATACCTTGCATGTAAATATATTTAAATGTAATAAGAATGAGCAATTTTGAAAGGTGGACACGTCTTTTACCCACTTTGAGCTCAAAGGGGACGAAACCTCTTCTGTAATGGTTAATTGAAAATTCAACTGAACGTGGCTTGTCCAGTATTCTCCCTCTAATCAAAGGGACGAACAGTAGGTAGATAGATTTAAGTAGAAGCGATAGACTAAAACTAATTTACGAATGAATCTTTCAACTTTGTGGCTAGATAGAAGCGTGGAAGCTGCGGGAAACTTTTCTTTTTCAATTAAAAGAATTCAGTTTGCAATTGTAGGATATTCATCGCCTTCATTTCCATTTAATTACGAAGACAAACCGCTGAGTATAAATTTCAATGTCCTGACGTATACAACTGGTCAGTAATTAAGTGTTCTCGACGAACATCTCGTAACTATTGTCTCTGAGATTGTCTCTCCTTATCGTTGGATGAATTTATTGAGTTATTATTCACATACCACAACAATGAATATGAACGGAATGGGGAATGTAGCCCAGCCAAATTAGTTTTCAATGTTTGAAATTACTTGTATGTAGGTTTGTTTCTATACATTGTTGGTTTGCCATAAAACATATACTTCGTTTAGTTTCTGTAGCGATGTGACCTTCAGTTTGACCGGTGCAAAGTAGAAAAGAACAGCACTAGGCCAGAAAAGGAAGGAGACAACTCTCGGCCAAACTCTTAACCGGTGAGGAGCGTATAATCCGTACAGTACAGCACGGAAAAATTGACCATTTTATCCATTACAATTGCATTGCTCAAATGTGCTGTTATTGGTACCATTTACTACTGAAAATATCAATGAGATGTTTATTTATATTTGAAGACATATTAGAGGCGTTAACGCTTGTTTTCGACTCGCACTACTGTTCATGATTGAACAAAACATTTGGCAAGTACTGTATGAAAAAGTATGTTTAATGAACAAGAGTCGAGAGTATAATGAGCTTTTTTTTCCCTACCTGCGATTTTGCCTGCGCGCATCCAAGACATTGGAAGGGGCACACCGCTAGAGAAAGTAAATGAAGTACACATGCTTAAAGTAATTTTATGTAGCGAATGTTATGTGGTTTTGTTTATATCCGATGAACGATATTTCACGTCTGCATTATGCATTAAGGCAGTTTTACCGTAATCCCTAACATAACGTGTTGGCAACGTAAAATCCAACGAATGAATGAAAGATGAAAAACGAACAATAGCCCACAAAAACGGAATAATTTTAGGCGAAGAAATTCATCGTTTCGTGTGATCCTCGAGGCTTTCGTTGTATCGTTTCGCGCTACAATAAAACCCACACTGGATTCTGTCTTTGCAGGTGCTTCCTTTTTAAACCGTAAATGATGAACCTTTTGTCACGAAAGAAATAAAAGGGATCGGCTTTTTTTTTATCGAGACGGAACTCCGACGTTGAATGTTCAAGAACTCTACAACAATGAGAAAATCGCAACTCGTTTTAGTAATGACACCTGTTTTTTTATATCTACACGGGGCAATTTAGGAAGGCGAGGTCATCATTAAATATTTTGCTGTTGATTTAGCACATACTTCAATGTAAATGGTTTTTGTCATATATAGAGAATTGTGCATGGAAAATATTTTCATTACAAACAATTTAAATTAATGACTATTAATTAGCCAAGTTAAATGGTCTGTTTGAAATACAAAGGTGTCTTTAAATGATATAATGCCTGAAGGAGTGAAATTTGTTCCAAATAATTACATTTATTCTACAACTACTCTAAGTATATCTTAAACTACCCGTTTCTACGGTGAATGTATTAGTATTTGAAGTTTTCGATTATAGTTGACAGTTGCCGTTAACAGTTGTGCGTTGCGCGCGCAACATCCGTTGCATGCTAATAGAAGTATCACTCTTTTTCATAAATATGCATGTAATATCTAAATTGAATCTAGTTGCTATAGCTAAGATTATCTTATTTAAAAGACCTTTCGTTTTGCGGTTTCAATTGCAGAAAACTGTTAGCGGATTTTGAAATAACACGCTATCTAAAAT